TTTTTAGAACATGGCTGGTTGTTCCAAAGCGTAATTTTAGGGAAAAAAAAAAGGAAGTTTTTTCAATACAAGGCCTGAAAGATAGGTAAACTATCAAATCGGGGCCTAAAATATTTTTTTTCTCAATTCGGGACCTAAATGTTATAAAACTATCAAATTAAGTCCTAGAATTAGCAAAACCCATAACACCATTAAATTGAGAGTTAATTTGAAGTTTTAAAACACCAAATCTGTTACAAAGTAAAAAAAAAATGAAGAAAATTAAGGAAAATACGAGATTGTTGGAGAAAATTAAGGAACGTATGAAGCTGTTGCTTGGTTTTCTTGCTATAGCCTATTTCATTTATTTTTTTTTTGGAAATATTATGCGAATGCTACTTATTATTTTATGTGAGTAAGCACCAATCTTTTCTTTTTCTTTTTCTTTTTTAAACTCTCAATTTAATGGTGTTATGGGTTTTGTTAATTCTAGGACTTAATTTGATTATTTTATAATATTTAAGTCCTGAATTGAGAAAAAAAAATCTTTCAGGCCCCGATTTGATAATTTACCTATCTTCCGGGTCTTCTATTGAAAAAACTCCTTTTTTTAAATTATTCGGAAAGGGGGTATGTGTCGTGTGTGTACCTTTCTGGCGACCTTTTTGACGACGGACTCGGTGAAGTGTGGGAGCTGGAGGAATGGGCCGTAGCCTTCAGTTAATGCGGCAGTGGGTTTTCTTGCACTGAGGGGGACTGCCTGCATCAGGAATTAGAAGAGCGTGAAGTCTACGTTAAAGGGAAATCGGATAAATGTGCGTTGCAGAGTAAATAGGAATCATTTAGATTGAGTATTGTGTGACGTTTGATTTCTTCCGAATGCATTGGTGAAGCTGTACAAATTTTCTTCATAATGGAATAATGGATCATCATATTCCAGTTTCTTTAACAGAAAAGAATTAAGTCGGCCTACCAAAGTCCAAAGCGGATTCTGATACTGATTTAACTAACAAAACAGAAAAAACAAAAAAAAAAAAAAAATAATAATAAAATAATAATAATGATGCTATGACATGATCAGCCTTGCATCGAGGCAACAATCCCTATCGGTTTCATTTTTCCTATTATTTGTTACTTACTTTAGTTTCCCCCAAAATTAGAAGTACTTTGAATGCACTCACGAAATGTGCCTATGTCTGGTTGATAATAGGATATCACAGAACTTGGATATGTCGTCATGTTGACACTTCAGCAATTGACATCAAAATGTACTGATAACAACAGTCAAATTTTGATGATGAGAAGGGAGAGACAAACAAAGAAAGGCACCAGCGGGAACATTATTCACCACATCAATAACCAGTTCAACCATGGAAATATTTTTTGCATTTCTAAGTCAGTGTTAACTCATTTCCATCAGTCCAGAAAACCCTTTGGGTGATTGCTAATTATTGGAGTCAATTTTAAAAGGCTGGTCGAATCAACGCTTGATTATAGAATTCTTGAAAGTAAATATGTGAGGAACATTAATTAGTTATTAGCCAAAGTGATACATTGAGGACCTTCACATCTATCTACTCACACAAAAATGAAACTCAAAATATACCTGGATTATACTCTGGGATAGCTCAACTACTCCAATTGCAGGTCTTAACCATCCATGCCCCTGTTGGGTGCGAGGTATGATCGCCATCTACAGTGAATGAAAATTTATATAGTAAAAATAGAAAGCTGGTGGTATAAACATATATTTAAGCAAACAACTTAAAACATTGCTAATAAGCTAGTAACACATGCTCAAGGACTCTTTGAATAAGAAGCCAAGGATAGTGAGGTGCATGATCCTTCAGTAATCTGTCTAAAAATGAAGCCAACCGAATAGTGTTCTATAAGAAAAAACACGTGCATCGATAATTATTGATATTATTGCTGGAAACATTTTTACCTTTATTATGAGCATATAGAAAGGTATGAAGGGGATATTATACGTTCATTGAAGTAGGGAAAATGTTGCCAACTACTAATACCTTCATTAGTTCTTCTAGAAGACGAGGTGCAAGAGCAAGCATTTTCTTAAAATCACGCTCCAGTGATGGCGATAAAGCTGCCGTCTCACGGGTAAGATGTGCTTGCATCAACAATTCTGTCTGCAAGCAGAATAAATAAATAAAGGAAGGAAGAAAGAAAGAAAAAATGAATGCTGAAGAACTAAAAACTTGTGAACAGTCGTCACCTTCACTAAAGCAGGATGCTGCTTCAAAAACTTAGCTTGTTCTTGTCGGATGTTTCTAGGATCCAGGTTTAGCTCACTCCTAACCAACACAAATAATTTCTGAAGAGATTCTTCATCAGTTCGACGAACAGGAATTTCCATGTATTCAGCAGCCCGGATGAATACTTCCATGACCTTGCTGTACATTGCAAAAGAAACACTGAGAGGCATATTGGAACCAATTCCTATAAGAATCAGCCTTATGGAAATTAATACTTCCGCCAGTACATTTAACAAATAAATATTATTACTAATCACTTTTTCCTTTAATATTTAGCATTAAATACAACTCTAGTGAAACAAGTGTGTTTATCGACAAAATAAAGCAACGAACTGTGCAAGGCTAGTTCTAATGTTCCGTTGGTCCATATAACATAATATGCAAGAGCACGAAAAGTGGCCAGAAGAATCAACATTTGTAATCATAACCAGATATAAACAATTTATCCAGTTTAACAAATATAAATACAGGAAGGACTTTTTACCTTGGAGCTAATGAAGGCTTCATAAAATGGTAGTAAGCATACATTGTGTGATGCATGACATAGTTCCCTGTATACTTTGCTGACCTTGACAAATATATAACGGCTATTGTCAAGGGTAAAAGAATACAAACTCCTACAATACCAAGTAGCAAAATCACTTCAGAAGTCCCATCAATATTGAGAAGAAATTGCGGGAGAGCAATCCCCATTTGAAGGCCCTACAAGAAAAAATTACATTTAAGTCCACTTTCTCTATGTTAGCTTGTAAAAAAAATGGTGAGGCCAAATGGAGATTGTTCCTCAAGACTTCAGATCCTGAGAGGAAAGCACACTACCTGCCTGCCATCAGGATGGCCATATTTCTCAAAGTTCTCACGTGATACAGGATCTGTTAGAGCCTGATAAGCCTTGGAGATATAATCTACAAAATACTTATGAGCCTCTGCATGGAAAGGTTTACAGATCATTAGTTATGGGCAACAAAACCCATAATTTGTATCTCAGTTTTTAAGTAAGAAGAAATCCAAATTGCAGTCACTGAACACCTTCAACCTGGGTCTGGATTTTTATCAGGATGGTATAAAATGGAAAGTCTCCTATATGCCTTCTTTATGTCTGAATCTGAAACTCCAGGTTCTAATCCAAGTATGCTGAATGGCTCAAAAATTTGGACCTGCAAAACGATGATGCAAACTTAAATTCGAAGAGGTAGGAAAGACGATAACATATATGTATGTACATCAGAAATTCCTCTTACATCTATCTTGAGACATGTATGAGCAATTCCACTTATGACACAATAACATCTTATCTAAGCATGGGTAAAATGGGACAAAAACTCTAAACAAAACAAAACTGAATCAACGTTTGTAGAAGTAAAACCCAAAAAAAGATAGGAACAGATCATAATGAGAAAAAAATCCCCAGCTGAAGGAACAGATCATAAACCATAAAGTACCTCAGTGTTGATATGCTTGATGTAGAAAGCCAAGAGCGCCACAATAACCCATAGCAACACCACTGTCAGGTTACTGTAAGTAGAAAAGTTTGAAATCTGGCATTTTCACAGAAATGGTAAAAGTCAGAATTTGAATGCAAAGTTGGACATATAAAGAAAAGAAAGATGTCGGACCAGCTGCCATGATAGTCATCTCTGACAAGTATCAAAGAATGAGAAGTCAAATTAGAGACTTACACGTTTGAATATGGACTTCCGATACTTCCCCGAGCGGAAACAGGTCGAACAACGACAATTAACTGTCTTGGTCTTTTTCCTGAATGTGAGGTATAAATTCACAAAAGTATATGGCACCAGAGGCAGCGCTATTATTGTCAATACAAAGATGGGAAACAGTGCGCTGTTCTCTTCTGATGCAGCCATAACCAACTCCTAGCGTCTCAACACTTGCAATTCTTCAGAGCAACAGCAAATTCAGATCAATTGCTTTATACAAACAACAACAATCAACCAAAAAATCAAACGAGCAGTGCATTCAGAGGATTTGAAAACATGAGATTTTTCAAATCAATTATGTTATCATTCAAATTTCCGCATCTCTGTTCCTAGTTCTCCTCATCTCATTCATGTTTATAGCAGCTGAATCGATCAACAAGCACAAGACTTTGCAATAATACAAATTAAATCACAATCCGGGCCATATTCTTCACCAGAAACAAAAGCAATTCAGCGGAAATAAGATCAAATAAATCTAAAATATCCACATACATCTATCGTGCACGCAAAGACAATGCACAGATCAAATTTACAATGAATAGTAAATGAATCTCAGTCGTACCTGACGGCGAAATCTCGCCGGAATTTAAACGTAGCGAATACTACCGAGCTGAAATGGAGATCGCGCTCTATGAATCAGCCCTAGATACTTTGAGGTCTATGACGGTGAAGAGATTGAGAAATGATATTTTGTTCTGCAAAATGCTTTGAACTTCCAAGTCAAGGAGGAGAATTGGACTGGAGTCTGGAAGCAATCAGGTGTTCCGTCATAAAACTGAGGTCTGCCCATGGGCCAGCTATTTTGATATGGGCTTGTAAATGAAAACAGACCTGGATGGTGCCTGATCGAAATGGGCTTTCCCGGAAATGATCTAGAATTGAATAGATATTAGTCACAAGTGCTGAGATATTCATTAATATTTACAAATTAAAAATGTTCATTAAATAATATTATTAATTAAGATTAAAAAATCAATATGTAATATAATTTACTCACATGTGAGTGGACCTTCGTGTTACTTTCAAAGGGAGGAGTTTTACTTACAGTGCTTTTGACAAACATGGAGTATAGGTCACGAGAAGGCTTACCACGAGCACTGGTAACCTAGTTAGTATTATTATAAGGATTAAGGATGAATTAAAAAGGGAGTTAAGATTTGTGGTAAATAAAATTTAGAAGGGACTAAGATACGATTTAAATGAGATATAATATTTTTTTTAGGATTAGGAAAGGAGATTCGGTCAGGCCAAACACCTCTCTCTCTCTCATTCAATCTCGCACATGTTTTTCCTTATCTCTCGCCCAATTCTCTCCCTTCTTCTCCTCTTTTTGAAACCGATCAAATTCAAAATCCTCCTTCTCTCCATCAATACTCGAGGAGCAACCAAAAAGAAGGACATATTCATTCCCTCTCTCAAATGACCACATCCTCTCCATTCATCTCTCAAGTTTTATTTTATTCTTTAGGGTTCAAGGCAAAGTGAAACATTTTCATATAGAAAATGTTTCTCTGGTGTGTTGCATGTGCTGTGTAATGTTGCAAAAAGAGGGGTGGAGGTGGATGTTAGGTGCAGAAGCTGTGGAGAAGAAGATGAAACTGTGGAACATATCCTCTTCAACTGCAAGAGAGCAAGGTTGGGTCTGGAAATCAACACTTGTTCACTATGAGAAGCAACCTGTAGGGTCTGGGGAATTTAAAGATTGGTGGTGGTGGATCTGCTCGTTGAATCATTTGGACATTTCTAAGAGAAAAATCCAGTTGTCCGCATATATTCTTTGGTGGTTATGGAAAACAAGAAACCTGTGGATATTTGAAGGAGTTTGGAGGCCTGAGGTCCTAATTGTCAAAGCAACTATGAAGGATTGACAAGACTTCAGGGAGTGCAAAGGAACTGGGAGTTAGTGATGATAATAGTTACATAGCAAGGTCTTATGTCTGTGGTTTTCTAATTCTTATAGTGTGTTTTGGTTTCATTGGATTTTGTTGGTGTTTTAGTATCTGATGGCGTCATTTGTTTAGCTGCAGTGCTCTTATATTGGTGTTTATCTAGACCACATACAGTATATGGTGCTCTCTTTCCACTTCGGTTGTATTAGGGTACTTACCTTGTTTTATGTTGAATGAGATCTTCTAATTTGGAAAAAAAATGAATATCTTAAGATTCGTAGAAGTCTAAAAGAATTCAAATTAAATACACTATAATTCTTAAATAACTCTTATCAATCAATAATTTATTATTTTTATATCACATCAATTTTAATTTTGATATTCATTTATATTGAATTTTTACAATAATATATTTTTTGTTTTTTCCGTCTCATTGTTTTTATAGGATTTTTTTTCCGTCAAAAGTACATGTACTTTTAACGACACAGAGCCTTTCCCGGCCCAGGGATAATTCGAGAGCTATATCGCAGGCCCATGTGATTGTGATCGAGTGGCCCACCAGCCGAAATCGGAGATATTATTTCACCGTTGCCTCAAAATTGACGACGCAGGTGGATCCTCATTTGTCTTTGTAAGACCTGGCTTTTATTAGATTATCGTTTTCTGGAAAAAAAAAAAGAAAAAACAAAAAAACCTAAATTGACGATGCAGAGCGACTGAGTCGGTTAATGTGGGACCCACAGCACCCAATCACCCCCATGCACCTCGCCATAGCTCCCTTCTCCACATGTAGGTATTGCTGCTTCACTCTTCACAACCCACCAATATCATAATCCTATTTCACGGATATCTTGGCACCTTGGACTCGCTGCCGATTTTTTTTTTTTTTGAATTTGTATGATCGAAGATAAAAAGGGGTGAAAAAAGGCTGTTTTCTGGGTCTTGACGGAAATATAATGGTTTATACGCTGCCTGGTGCGCGTCTGCCGGCTGTGCCGTCGGTGTTCAAGCTGGGGAGTGAGAGGTGGAGCTCGAATGCTGATAGGAGGAGTGACAATCTCTGTTTTTTCCTGAAAAATAAGCCCAATTCGCGTGAGTGAGATTCCCATTTCATTTCGCTTGATATGTGTATGTCTGCCTTTTCCGTTTTCTGGTGTCCTTTTTGTTTGGTTGTGCCAGCTTTTATCTCATACGTGCTGTTGGATTGATTCGTATTCGTTTTTCTTCAGTGGTATGTTCACTGAATTTATTCTTTCAAGAGTTCCTAAGTGGTGCTTTATCTGTTTTACGAACTTTTTAGGGAGTTGATTTTGTAGCTGAAGTGTATTTTCGCCAGCGGTAAAGCCTCGATATGATTTGGAATCGCGTGCAATAGCTGAATACCAGTGTAGTGGTCTTGAGTTTTTTTTATAAAAAAAATTATTAATGGATGTAGAGCTATTGATCATCTTCGTCATTTTCTTTTTCGTTTTTGGATCTTTAGTAATGTCAAAGTGGTGGTCCGCTTAAAACCTAATTTATCTTGATTATTATAACTTGTTTAAATGAAAATGAGATTTCTTCCTCGGAACGACGGTAATTTCTGTTGACATCAAACGTTTGTCCAATTCAATTGATTTGACCTTTTTAAGTTTAACGGAGAATACAGAAGGATAAGACTGAATGTGGTTATCGCATATTATTGCTGATTGCTTTGATTTTCTGTGTGGTTGAAGTTAGAGAAAAGGTTGCTCCTGCCATTTTAACTCCGCTCCAATTACCATAAGATATCATAAACTTACTACTGCATTGGAAGTTTAGCAAATTCGCTTCTTTGCAGGAAAGATTTTTTGTGGAAAGCCTTACGAACCTGATTATCAATCTCCTATGGCAACTGCATCTGAGAAAGTCCTTGTTCCAGGCATTGAAAGTGAGGGCACCTCATCTCCATCAGAGAAACTGGTTGTACCTGATGAAGTGTCAGATAATTCCAAGGCATGTCAGCATTGAAACCTTGTCCTAAAAGATTTACTTTTACTGTTTTCTCTTATATATAGGTCATGCTAAATAAATCAAAGCTCTTACGTTAAGACATTGAAAGAAATCATCGATGCCATGTTTTTGAAAAATGGATTACTAATTTTCAAAAGCTCTAGTTGAATTCTGGGACTTTGGTTTTGTGTGGTTATGCATAAACCTAATATAAAGGAAAATAGTGAAACTTATATAGAAATTAGCTGAAATTTGACATTTAATAAGCATATAATTTGTTTGTTGTGGAAGTTGCTTGCGTAGTCTCTATAAAAGTCATAAGGATGTTTGCTTAACTAGCACTAGCAGTACTGATAGTTAAAGGCCGCTAAATTTTGCGGTCCTATTGATTCTTTAATGTTTCTATCAGACAATGGTAAGTAAGTTTAGTCCATATTCTTGTTGATCACATAGTGCTATGATCATGTTTCTTGTTGACGATGAAGGCGCTTGTTTTCCATGTTTCTCCATTTTGACATTTTTCTCATTTCTGAAAGCCATTAGTGAACTGGGATTATGCTGTCCATCGCGTCATTAACTGTGTAGTAGCTTATAAGAAGTGACATCCAGTTATTTTATTAACTAACTTCGTGTTGTAGAGAAAAAGAGATGCATTTTAAATCTCAATATCATATAAGCTCAAAGTAGAACTAGCCCTTGAAAGTTATTATACATTTAAGTGCAATTGACCGGGATATCATATATGCTTTATTTGTTTATCAGTTTATCTTACATGTTAATCGTTCATGTTAACACTGCAATTTCATCTTCATTATATTTTCCAGAAGCATTTTCGAAACATTATACTTCCTCTTCCAATTGATATTACTTGCCTTGTATTATTTTTTGTGCTAGATATCAGGTGATATAGACAGCATGGAAACTGATCTAAGGATGGAAATTGAGGATCAAGAAAATTTGGTTGACCAGCGAACTCCTGTTGATGCCATTAGAAGCGAAAACTCTACCTTTGTGCAGCTACAAGATGGACTTAGCAAATCAAAAGATGAAGGAACGTCATACTCGACATATGAAACAATAAGTGATGAATCTTCAAGGGTCAGAAAAAGGGTCATCCCTCCACCTGGAATTGGTCAAAGGATATACGAAATAGATCCACTTCTGATCAATTACAGTGAACATCTCGATTATCGGTAAAATTGTTTGATCATTTTGCCTGAGTGATATGTGGAAAATTTTAAAAATTTTCAATGGAGGAATTGTATAATCCAGGTTCATGAAAAATTGTATTTGTGTGAGAATATTTTCATTTGGAATTTAAACTCTTCCTTTATTTTTCGTCTCTTTTTAAAATATGTTGCATGTTAGGATCCTTCTCACTTTTGAGTTTTCCATGGGAGGTTTCTAAAATCCATAACCATTTTTTGGAGAATTGATGAAGCTACTTATGTAAATTTATATATTTTCTGTCTCACTATACATGCTGATTTTACAGGTATAGCCAGTATAAAAAGCTACGTGAAGCAATTGACAAGTATGAAGGTGGACTAGAAAAATTTTCTAGGGGTTATGAGAAACTTGGTTTTAATCGCAGGTGTGTGATCATTCTGCTGAAAATTGTTTTTTTGTCTTATAAACACCTTAGACAGTTTTCTTTGACAATCACAGTTTCACAGTTGTAGCACCTACTGAACCAAATCTCTTATGTGCGTAATGGATTACTGTTTTTGTGTATTTTATTCTATAACTATTTTCATTGTTGACAATGTATAGCCATAGGGGCGGAGTATGTTTCTTTTGGCAGTATTACTGCTAAAGGAAAACAAGCTGTTCTTCCTTCTTCTATCAAACAACTATTTGGAAGTTCAACTATCTATGTAGTTTGGTTTATGCAGGATACTACACCAATCATCCCTCTAACATGACAACCAACCATTTACATCATAATGAAACACCACTTAAAAAACCATTGCAGACATTTCTTTGAGTATTTGTGGGACAGAAAGAAAGTAATGTGGGCTCGTCAGAATTTTTAAGGCAAATGGACTACAGCCATATTACGTGAGGAAAAATATCAGATCTAACAGCCAGAATTTTATCTTAGCTGAGGCCTCAGTACAATTAGGTTATAGTCGTTTATCATATAGTATAGCCGTTTCATTGACTCTAGATGGTTTAGTCATCCCAAGTGTGAATCTATAAATTGGGTTCTAAGTATGTGAATTCTAATTTCCTCTAATTTTGTATTTTGCCAGTGAGACAGGTATCACTTACAGGGAGTGGGCACCTGGAGCTAAGGTTAGTGGCTGTTTATCATTTTGCTATAGCAAGAAATAAACTTCTTTTGCAGTTTCATTCATTCAATATTTCTCCCTTGGCATTTTTTCAAACCGCAATGTCTTCAGATTTGTATTTGCTCCAAAACATGCTGACAAGAAGTCACATTTCATTGTTTTAAATTTTAGTAGTTCTCCTGGGGTGTGTGATTGCCAGGAAACAAGTTGGCAACACAGACTAATGCTTTTGTGTCTAAATGCTGCTTGGTTATCAACTACCACAATTGTAGTCTGAAGTAAACTCATTCTCAATATATTGTAAGGGTAGAAAGTACAAATATAATACAACCCTAGGAGAAAATCGAAGAAGGAAATAACAATCACATTCCCTAATATACTGGATCACAATAAGCCCTTTAGTTGTGCTCTAATCTATACCCCATACACACAAACACACAACAACAACAACAACAACGATAATAATAATAATAACCACCACCACCACCACCATAGTTTCCTCGTTATCAAACTTATTTTATGATTATTACTGTTGTCAGTACGATTGTTAATGTTTCTACTATATATCTGACAGTGGGCAACGCTAATTGGAGATTTCAACAATTGGAATCCTAATGCTGATGTTATGACTCGTGTAAGTTGAACTTTCTTCCTTGATAATGGCTTAGTCATTGAGAAAATCTGTTATTAAGTTCATTGACCAAAATTAGTAAATTTATGTTTTTGTATAAGTTGTTAAATGATTTTTTGGCGTAAGAGGAAACCATTTTTCAATTATTATCCCATCTAAAAAGAAAAAAAAAGGATGAAGAAGAAGAAGCTATATATTTATTGTACTTCAGCTTTTAATGTTTTCCATGTTACAATCATTGTCCCTGTCCTGATTTCTTACCATGGCTAGAATTATCATATTTAGATTCTCGGTAGACTTAGATTTGTGATATATATTTATCGTTTATATGTTGGTTGTTTCTGTCATATGATTTGGCTCACTTAGATTTTTAACAGGATGAATTTGGTGTCTGGGAGATCTTTTTACCAAACAATGCTGATGGGTCTCCTGCTATCCCCCATGGTTCCCGCGTAAAGGTATGAAGTTATTATTATTCTTTGAATAAAATTTATTAACAGTCAAATTTTAAGTAATATAATTTTCTTACTTGGATGTTTGTCACTAGTGAGTCCTAATCTTGCTTGCTCCTACTACATTATCATAATTTATAACAATAGCCACCAAGTTTTGCCATCAACTACAATTACTGCACTTTGCGAATCTAGTAGTAGGCAGGTTGTTGATGATACTACCTATATCATTTTTACATGGTAGATTCGTATGGATACTCCATCTGGCATAAAAGACTCTATTCCAGCTTGGGTCAAGTTTTCAGTTCAGGCGCCTAGCGAAATTCCTTATGATGGAATATACTATGATCCTCCAGAAGAGGTACTTTCAAGTTTTCTCTCTGTTATCATATTTTAATATTATGTAATGTTGAATATTGGATTATTGGGGAGATTTAGGGATGAGTGGGATGCCCGACACAGTAATCATTATGTAATTTCAGTTGTACGTATAGCAGGATGCTATCATTAACTTTCTTGTGGAAGCTTCTTGATTCTTGATTTTCTGTAATCTTGCTTTGTAAATAGTAATCCTGAGGTTCTTTGCCTGGAATTTTTTTTTCCTGTGTGGAAAGGTTATGATACTTATTTCCTCTGTGTGTGTGAGAGAGAGATGAATGTTGATTTACCTGGTAATTCTTACCTTGCTTTTTTCTCAGCTTAGGACGCTCTTTATAATATGTTTGCAGGAAAAGTACATTTTCAAACATCCTCGTCCAAAGAAGCCAAAATCACTACGGATATATGAGTCTCATGTTGGAATGAGTAGTACGGTGTGCATCTCTTCTTTCGCATGTAATGAATTGAAGTTTTATGTTCAAATACCTGTGCATTCTCTTATTCAGGGATTGTTAAGTGATGCATGCATAACTTTTACATCTGTAGAATGTAATGCATTGTTGGAAGGCTGGCTGCATTTACCTTGCAACTGATATTTGAAGGATCTGCAATTGTGTATTATATGAAAGATACTTGTTAATACGTACTAGAATGATTAGTATCATGTAAGGGAAAATGACTTTCAATAAAATAATAAATTGTAACTCTTTTATCTGTATCACAGCTCTACATACGCTCCTTACCTTTATTACAAGTCCATTTGACTTGGTAAGGAGTTCATGAGAGTTAAAGAAAGGGCCTTTGGTTGAGAATTTGCAAACTCTATTTTAACCTTTTTTTTTTTTTTAAAGAAACGATTCTATGTTATTAGATGGAAAAAAAATACCTTTTCCACCGTAGCCAAGAATAGCTTATTTAGAGTTTGCAATCACCCCCTTTCATCTTGTAACAGGATATTTTAGATTCATTTTAACTTGGCAAGAGTTAGAGAGTTTGAAGTACTTTGTAGTTTCTTATATACTTATCCTCAAATATAGTTCTGAGGTAGAGATGCCATGCAATACTCTTACTAGAAAGGGCACTTCAGTTCTCAGAGTGAGATTAGTTCAAGAATAAGGGAGAGGGGGTGTCAATTTTGGTGGAAGCCCAGAATGCAGATAAATTTAAGGTACTATAGCAAAATGATCAGAAAGAGATTGAACAAATTTAGTAATCCTTTCTACAGCTTTGTATGCATGAAGGAGCATAACTGAGGTGTTGGTAAATAAATTGTTAATCAACTTTAGCTTTTGTAATTGACATTGTATGGGCCATCAAAGTTATGATCATCTGTTTATCACATTATGTTCACTAGGCCATTCTTAATTCCTCTAAATGTATTGTTTTTCAATCTCATTTGAGACAAGGAAGATTAGTGCCAACACTACTGTTACATTCTGCAAGAGTGACATTATTTACTCCTACCTGAAGATCAGATTTATGAATCGTCACTGCTATTTTATGCTGCTTCCCGGTTTGTTCTTACTTCTTATGTATATCCTTCAAGTGAAAGTCATAATCTTGATCTTGGATGCAGGAGCCGGTTATCAATACTTATGCCAACTTCCGAGATGAAGTTCTGCCTCGTATCAAGAGACTTGGGTATAATGCTGTTCAGATAATGGCAATTCAGGAGCATTCATATTACGCCAGTTTTGGGTAACTCACTAGCGATGTTATTTTGTTTTAGCTCATTATCTTCAAGCACTGTAAACTTCTTTTTCTTCTTTTTACATTAGCTTTTCTTTTTCTCTTTCTTTTTTTTGGGTTCTGACAGTTTTGTACTTTGTTCACTTGCTTCAGTTACCATGTGACAAATTTCTTTGCACCAAGCAGTCGCTTTGGAACTCCAGATGATCTTAAGTCTTTAATAGATAAAGCTCATGAGCTGGGCTTGATTGTTCTCATGGATATTGTACACAGGTATAAAAAGCTTACATGATTAAATATCAACCCTACATCCAAAGATTGTTGAGTGCCTTCGTATAGTTGATGAATAGCTTCTTCCTTGAAAATCTTAGTCCATGCAACATTTTTTAAGAGGTCTATGAAACAATTTTGAGGGCCGTTGTTCATGTTTGCAGTCACGCATCAAATAATACTTTGGATGGGCTGAACATGTTTGATGGTACCGACAGCGGTTATTTTCACTCTGGACCACGGGGTTATCATTGGATATGGGACTCTCGTCTTTTTAACTACGGACAATGGGAAGTATGTAGTCTCCAATTAGAATGTTGAACTTTTTTCTTTAATTGTATCATCATGATTGGCATCTAAAGTACCTTTATTTGTAGGTTCTAAGATTTCTTCTATCTAATGCGAGATGGTGGTTGGATGAGTATAAGTTTGACGGTTTCAGATTTGATGGGGTGACATCAATGATGTATACACACCATGGTTTACAGGTACTATCTTCAGTTTTCGACTAATCGACTGAGTAATTTTGTTTGATGAAGTGATTGGCATTGTATGTAAAAGTCTTAAAATATTTATAATAATAGTGCTGTCTTCATCCGCCATACTTTCTCAGACAATTTAGCTTCATCATCTGATGGGTAGAATGCAGTCGTAAAAGGTGCTTCTTTTTTTAAAGAATATCTTGTTATCTTGTATATCATCAGAGAATTGGATCCTTTTCAGAACCCTTCTAAGATAATTAGGTATTTTGGTCCCCAAATGCATGTGCGTGTCACATGTTTTCCAGGTCAGTCACTCCCAGTTTTGTCATCCCTCTCTGTTTATTTAGGTGCTTAATTAACAAGTAGTTCTTGGCCGCAATGAGAATTCAGTTCTGCATTAAGAAAGCATGAAATTTCAATTTAAAATTTGGACAAAGGTAAAAGATAACAATAAAAAAATGATGTATACCTGGGTTCAGTTTGTTATAGTTGCTATTTAGGAATTCTAACCAAGTTCTATCTAGATCAAACATGATATTCTATGAGCCTAAGATGTAAATTATGTAAATGTTTTTTAATTCGAGAATGTTCTCATTATCATATTCATTTGCAACCCAGTATTCCTGAAGCCGCTTGGGCAATTTATTATCTGTTCAAATCTTGTACTTCTTGATTTTATCGTCTCGGTGTTGAAGCTAATATATTTGATTGTTAAAAGGTGGGATTTACTGGGAACTACAACGAGTATTTTGGGTTGGCGACGGATGTGGATGCTGTGGTGTACTTGATGCTGGTTAATGATCTCATTCACGGGCTGTTTCCTGAAGCGATAACAATTGGCGAAGATGTAAGCTTGTTCATTTAAAATATTTGGCCAGCCTTATTTATTTTACATATTTGGTTCTTTGGGCGAAGAAATAGATAAAAACTAGAATTTCGATGCAGATGGAAGAATGGCGAAAATTCATTTTAAGAATATCTGGTGCTTCATGAATTCCCCTAATGTTGTTTGTTCTCTTAGCCTTCTTATTTCTTGTTACCATTTATACTTGAAATAATTTACTAGCCCGCCCTCCCCACAACAATAGACGTGCTACTTTTTTTCACAATTTAAGAAAACATCCAGTGTAGTTGATGGAAAGTTGTGTATTCTCATAACATGCACTTTTATGATTCTATTTTGTTTTCTCCATGTAAATAAAATGAGGGCTAAAAGAGAACTTACTATTTCAATTATGTTATTTGGAAGATGCTTGTCTATCTTTGTGGGACAAATCAAAATAGGAATGCGACCTATCTTGGCAGAATGGATACATAACTTAGGCTGTCAGTAAAATAACTACGGAGATATTTGTTTTGCAATAGCTTACGACGGCTTCTATTCTTTTTGGGAGAAATTATCAATTTCTTGCTGGGAAGTGTTTATCACTTATTATTGGTTTCTTTGTTTTCGTTGCAATAAACCGTTGTTCAATTACGTCTTGTGTATGTTGATACAGTTCGAACCTTAGTGTAAAATAATAAAGATGAAGAAATAACATAGAACAATCATCTTCTTCACAATTCAGTCTTTCTGATCATAGCCCTGATGATAATCTAAAGGTTCCATTGATTATATTTGGTGTTAACGAGTCGATGCTTTGTCTGCAAAATACCTCATTATTCTGAAATGGAATTACTTTTGGCTGAACTACAATTTATTTGGATATTTCATCGAATTTCAGGTTAGTGGCATGCCAACTTTCTGTATCCCTCTTCCTGATGGTGGTGTTGGATTTGACTATCGTCTGCACATGGCAATTGCTGATAAATGGATTGAAATTCTCAAGTATGTTGCTCTTGAAGCATTTGACTTTATACCATCCAGGAAATAGGGAATAAGTGTAATTCTCTTTGAAATAGTACTTGTTCATGTGAAGACTTGAAAAGAACAGATTCTGCTTATTGGATTTCTCTTTTGCTTAATTTCCTTTTCTGACCCTGGAGGTGCGAGAAACTTATGAGTAAGCCAATGTGGAAAAAGCATAATAAATAAATAAGCACCTGGTTATGGTACTAACTTATTTGCTTTAGAGATATCAAATAGTTTTCTATTATAGAACATGAATTTTAAATGTGGAAATCGTGTTACTGGTCATCCCTTAACATCTCTCTTCTCTTTTGTATCTCTTTCTGCAGACAAAGGGATGAAGATTGGAGAATGGGAGATATTATACACACTCTTACAAACAGAAGGTGGCTGGAAAAATGTGTTTCCTATGCAGAAAGTCATGACCAAGCACTGGTCGGCGATAAAACTATTGCATTCTGGTTGATGGATAAGGTGATGCATATGAAATCAGAATGCCCTAATATGCATTTATTATTGGTCGAATCGTAATTGAGTCAGATTTTAATATAGTCACCCACTTAGTAATAGTGTTAAGAAAATACTAGTGTTTTTAATTTATTGAAGTTATGTTGTTTCCCTTCTGCAGATATGTATGTATTTTTGTCAGTTGAAGTTAGAGAATCTAGTTGATTTAAGAAATGTGGTGTAGAAGACCTTGAATAGAATAAAAAATATTGTGGGATAGACGCTTTAATTGGGCAGCTGCATTTCTGTTAGTAGGGCTGCCTGATTATAGTTTGTCAGTCATCCATTTATCAGAAGCCAATTTCCTGAAGACCAAGTCCAATGTAGTTGATGTTCTGTTGTTAATATCTGTAAACAGCATCCACTCCATTCTTGGTGTTCTGTTATACACCTATAAACCATATAGGTTTCAACGTTTGGGCTTATTATAGTATTTATCTTCTGGTCAGGATATGTATGACTTCATGGCAGTGGATAGACCATCAACTCCCTTAATAGACCGCGGAATAGCATTACACAAGATGATCAGGCTCATCACAATGGGATTAGGTGGAGAAGGATACCTAAATTTTATGGGAAATGAATTTGGACATCCTGGTGGGTTTACATTGTATTATTTCTTGCAAAATTTGTAAACCATCATAGCATTACATGTCTGAGAACATGACTTTTATTTTGAATCCAAAAGCACATCATTAAATCTTTTTTTTCTTTTGAACCAGAATGGATAGATTTTCCTAGAGGAGATCAACATCTTCCTGATGGCAGAATCATTCAGGGAAATAATAACAGTTATGACAAGTGCAGGCGCAGATTTGATCTGGTAAAGCTAATTCTCTTTATTTGGATTTAAATTTCTTAAATATGATGTCGAATTGTCCTCTACCATTCATTCTGATTTGACGATTAGGTTGAAGGAATGTTCAATCATCTGTTCTATGTTTGATAAATCAAGATCCTGTAATTTACTCATGAACTTTTTATTGACCTAAAATGAAGCTTGATATTATCTCAATTTTATTTCCGTGTCTGAACGGAGGTGGGGCATGATATGAGACATTGTTCATGTGAGAATCAGGGAAAATGTCTGGAAAGGCAAAGCGAGAACCAATAAAATGTTCCACTCCCTTAACACAGGCAGATGAATGTTATTATATAAATTTAGTTATGTTCTAAAATAAAGTACCCATTAAGACAAAAATCCACAGAACTGACACTTACATAACAATACCCACTTTAAGAGAATATTAATTAACGTAGAAAATAACATCAAAAGTGTATTTGTACTGAGAGAGTAAATAGATTGAACTTCAATCACATTTTCGATGTTTCAGTCCCAAGATAAATGTTTCCGAACTGAATCTTGAATTGTAGAGGTTTCTGAAAGGAGCTCAGGTAACTGAGAACCAATGAGACTGTGTAACCATGCAATAATTACTTTTTCTAAACATAAAGAACATCGAGTATTGCGTTAAAGAATATTTGGGATTTATCTCAAACAATTCAATTTTTTTTTTTTTTTGTTACTATGATTCTGTTACATTAGCAAACATCATATGCCGCTCAACGTATAAATATGTGTGCGCATGATTTCATTTGCAATCCTGCTCTTAGATACTTTTTTAACTCGCTTACTCTCCAGCATTTTGGTTGTGGGGAGTGAGCATCTCAGTCTGATTGCTAACTGGCTATACTGCACTGTTTTACCATAAACTATGAATCTGGTAAAATATAGTTGGAAAATTTGGAATTCAGATCAGCATGTTTGAAGTTTCCTTTTTCATCAATATTCTCTACTCTCCAAAATATCTTAAAACATTCCATTCAATGTCACTTGTTAATCGTCAGACCTTTGGGACAGTTGAGTTTTTGTCTCAATTTAACTTTGATGCATATTCAGGGCGATGCAGATTATTTACGTTATCGAGGTATGCAAGAATTTGACCGAGCAATGCAACAACTGGAAGAAAAATATGGTGTATGTATTCTTTGCACTGAATTCATTTCCTTGATTGAATATAGGTGGTGTATTTGTCATTGAGTTCTACAAAAAGTTGGATACAGCATGATATATGTGTGATGGAGTTGAAATAATTTATTAATTTAGGCTACGTATCTGCATATTCTGTTGGTAATAAAATTAAAATTGTAAAGAAAGAAAATTTCTACATATTCCGCAGCAGTACTTTTTTTGTTTTTTTCATTTCAAGTAGGTTCCCCTTTTTCTCATTTTTCCTGTATTTTTGTGAATCATTCATATTAGAAGCTTCTCTTATCTGTTTGCCAATTATTTTTTATGGATTCCACTTTACCTATATCCGTTAGTGCTGTGTATTAGTTGATTATGAAAAGAAGATCTGTCCTTTCCGTGATACTTATACTGAAGTAATTTAAAAAAAAATAGTTATAAAAGGACTGGAGGAGAGGGGAGTTTAAATTCCCTAAGAACTGCGTGGTACAAAGAGACCTTGTATCAACCAAAGTAAAGAACCACTTGAGCTACGAGCTTGTGGTTATACTGAAATAGTTACTCATCAGTATTGGTTGGTCCGTCCCTAATGGACTTGTTTGTTAGTCCCTGCTCGTTCACAGCTACTTTGTTTGTTAAGCAAAAATGCTTCCCGGCACAAACGGACACTTTTAGAATGGAAGAAGAAGATTGTATTCAGTTTTTCTCTCTTATGTTTACAAATAAAACTGCATCCCTATATATAAGAACTAAAAACAAAATCAGCCTAAAGTGGCTGCCATGAAAGTGCAATGAAAGTGCAATGAAAGTGTAATGAAAGTGCAAGGAAGTTGCACTTCACTAACAAGGAAACTGCAGGATTATATCTTACATTGTTCGTGTACTATTTCTTTACTACTGTTTACTGGTTAATGTGGGATAAACAGCCTGAATAGTTATATGAGCCCCATATAGAAAAGGTTCTTAGATTGCGTGCATTAAAGCCTTAACTGGGTGTCCTACTGTCCTTTAGACTTGATGATTCCCCTTCATCTTTCAATCCTTTGCCTCCCGAATGCCAGAGCAAGCGAAAAATTTCTTGCTCCAACAATTATTCTGCTGTAAGTTAAACATTTAGAGAAGTAGGATATTGCCCTAAAGCAATTGTCCAAGTTTCCAGGTTTCTCACCTCTGACAGTTTAATGATTGACTTGGATGATGCTATTGCGTTCAACCTCTTGAACTGAGTTAACAGTTTGAGTTTGCTGCTTGCTTCAAACTATTGTACTCGAAAGTAATTGTCCAAGTTTCCAGGTTTGATGTTTATATTTTTTAAAATGTGGCTCTAATGTTCTGCAGTTCATGACGTCAGAGCATCGGTATATATCAAGAAAGGATGAAGGTGATAGAATAGTCGTATTCGAGAGGGGGGACTTAGTCTTTGTCTTCAATTTTCATTGGAGCAAAAGTTATTCAGATTATCGGGTAGGCTGCTTAAAGCCAGGAAAGTACAAGGTACATCAAGAAAGATCGTTTTCTTTCAGATTGTTATTTCAATTTGCTTGCTGAAAAGGAAAATCTACATAAATTTGCCTTACAATGACCATGTTTGTGATGATAAGGAAGTTAAATGTGGTGTTTATTTCCCCTGAAATGGAAAATCTACTTGAATTTCTGATGGTACTTATTTATATATTTTCTGGTGAATTTGTGCTACTATCTATCTCTTATAATATATATAATTACACATATATAATTATATTCTGATGAATTTTTGCAACTGTGTGTCTTTAATAGTTTTATAAGACCAAGGGTTTCATTAAAACACTTGTCAGGTTGTTTTGGACTCGGATCATCCAACATTTGGAGGCTTCAGTAGAATCAATCATGAAGCCGAATATTTTACCTCTGTAAGATCTTGAAATTGTGAATTACTATTTTTCTCATAATTTATAAGTACCGGGTACACGATTCATATGATGAAGACTTCATATTCCATGATTTTCGAGTTTATGTTTATTTCTAGAATTGCAACATATTCTGTCTCATCTTCCTAATGATATTGAATATCTAAAACTTGCTTTGTTTTGAAACTTCAAATGTTTTGAATGAACAAATTGTTCTGCTTATAAACTTTAGCTTGTAAGAATGAAGGTAAAACTGTATATGATAATCATAGTATTTCCTTACCAATTTATTGAAACATTGTCTTTAGCAAAACACGAGGTTGAACTACTTTCATAACTATCAAGAGAAAATTGCACCTTTTAACCACACTTAATGCATGCCTTATTTTATGCTCAATTGTATCGAGATAGATCTTCAGAACACAAACTTTCCCTTCATGACGTGTATATATTCACGAAAGAGATGTCCAATCAGATCGCTTGATGCTTGGATATAAGATGTTTTGATTTTGTTAGGATTTTTTGGTTTGGTGTGATTAATTTTGAGAAAAATGGTATAGTTAGTTGTTAGTGGGATTTTGAGTTTATATTAAAATAATATTTTAAAATAAAATAATTAAAGTTGATTTGATATAAAAGTGAGAGATATGCTCTGAAGTGATGGATAGTTAAAATTATGTGAGTGGATGAATAGTGAATGAAGTTGATGTAATGGCTAAAAATGATCGAGTGATATTATTTAATTATTGATAATATTGAGGATAGTGAAGTTGAGTTAAAGTTGAGCTGGATTTGAGTTTTAAAAAAAAATGATTGGTTAAAAATGATTAGATTTTTTTTTTTGGAAAAATTTGTATCCAAGCATGCACTTAATAATTCAATCGCCATGCATAAAGTTTATCGTCATATGTTAAATTCCTGCTACCTATAACTTGTATATTTAGCGTAGTCGACATGGTCTCATAATCTGCCTGGGAAGTTTGTTGCTTTCGAAGAAATATAAATATAGTGAATAATATTTTTCTTCGACTTGATCTCAACAGGAAAGGGGGCATGATGACAGGCCTCGTTCATTCCTAATCTACGCACCTTCTAGAACAGCGGTGGTCTATGCCTTGACTAAAGATGAACTTGAACCAGTTGAGGCTGATGATGTGAACAGTATTTAAAACAATTTATTTCTACATGGCTCGGGCTTAAGGCGAATCTCACCATGCTGAACAATAAAGATATGCGAGGAATGTAACATGAGGTCAATGTAAATAAAATCCATAATGTACTATTGACTGATGGCCGATGTATAATACATGTCTCTCCTATGAAGATTCTCTTAGTCATTCCTGGTTGATGAATTTCTGGGCTGCGAAGGTATATCCCGAGTATGATTTATCGAGCAATTGATGGATAGTCAAAAGTGAATCGATTGGCTTTGTTGTCGAGTGTTTACTTTAGATAACAATCAGATTTTGTTTTACCCTTGTGTGTTTCTATTTAAATTTGAAACCATAACATTTATGCAAGATTATGTTTCTTGGTATAATGCAACCCGTCTATACGTTCGCCTACAATTAATGATATACTATACTATATGTTCGCCTACATTAACTATATGAGATGCAGTGCATTGTTCACGGTTTTGCTATGGAGTCATCGAATGGCTCGGTTTATGGAGCTATCCATAGTTATCCACGAATGATGTATTGACACGTGTCCTGCAATAAACACACATTTGACACGCGTCAATATATAAAGTTATGGATGGCTTCATTAATTTACTGGCATTGTACATATGTTTGCTTTATGCGTATTTATGCAGTGTCTCTAGTTTGCAAGTTTCACTCAATTGATTTCATTAATTGTAGATAAGATACAACCTTTATGTCAGCCGTACGTTAAAGAACTTGTAGTTCGAACATTTTGAAAATTATATTGAGATTCATTTTCTAGCAACTCATTAGCATATGAACACTCTTTAAGTGAAGTATGAGCTTAGTCATGGCGCCCAAATTTCACCCAAAACTGGAAAAAAAAAATCATAAAAAAAAAATGTTTCTTGATTCATTTTACAGTACTAATTTGACTAACAAATTTTTAAGTTCCATTTCTTCAGATAATTCACTCGGTTTTGATTTCAATAGTTAATAGTTTATAAATATAACAACTTATAGACCTGAGTTAGCCTAGAGGAAGAGTATAGCTCAAGTCGTAGAATGAACTTCACTTACTTTTGCCTCTGGGATCCACTTATCCAGTCGGACGTTATCTGGATATGAAATTCAAATTCAGGCCAAAAATATCATTTTACCTTTTGATTTTTTTAGACTCAACAGGACAGAGATATTAAATGAGTTATTTTCACACTCTTGTCCGTTTAAGTCTAAAAAATAATAGGGTTATTATCTATTTTCTACCTCTTTTAATCAACGTTAAGTCTAAAAAACAATAGGGTAATTATAAGTTTTTTTCCACATCTTTTAACCAGCGTTATTTTTTTAGCGAGAACATTAAATATGAGCATGATAGGGCAAACTTGTAAAATAATTAATATATTATCTCATTAAAATATTTATACTAATAAAAATTTAATTTTAGCATATAAATTTATCCCTTGATATAAGAGAAAGTAACAGTTTTACTTATTGTTGTTCACTATATAACATTTAATTATTATTTTATTATATAATAAAAAAGAATACTGTTAAATAGTGTAGTAGAATTGTTATAAAATTATATGAATTACTTTTTTACAATATGGATTTAGTATCTTCTTATAATTTGATAATATAACTATAATATATTCTTAATGATACAATCTGAAATCGGATTACAGAATTTCAATACATAAATAATTAAATTTTTGGTAAAAAGATAAGAAGGAAATTTCAATTTCAATCTACAAAAAGTTTAAAACGATTTTATGGAATTTTGTTGACTAAACGGATTGTATGAGATAAAACAAATAGAAGATAAGAAAGAAATTTCAAATATACAAAAAATTAAAGCCGATTTTGTGGGATTTTTTTCCAGGAAAACCGATTGTATGAGAATAGTAATAGCATTAATTGAATCGCATAACATTAATTTTAGTATAAAATAATTAAATAAATACATGCAAGAAATAGTAATAGCATTAATTGCAGTTGACTTTTTTGGATAATATTTGTAGTAAATAGGATTCCTTTTTATATAAGTATAGATAAGATGCATATTTATCCCACCATGAATGTACTTAAGGATGTTTACTTATTAGTGAAAAATTAGTTTCCATCAATAATCCACATTATTTCTTAGAATGGGGATAAACAGCAATTCTTTGCCCTGCAATTTTGTACACATGATATTAAATCTTGATTTCGTGCCAATGACATATCGTGGTCAATCTTGAATAGGCTTAACCTTATTTTGATTTAACACATCAAGATTTTTATGGGTCTTATGCTTGGATACAAAATTTTCAAAAAAATCTAATTATTTTTATTTTTTTTTAATTGAAATTCAACTCAACTTTAATTCAACCTTACTATCCTCAATATTATCAATATAATTAAATAATATTACTCAATCATTCTTAAACATTACATCAATTTTAATTCACTATTCATCTACTCACATAGTCTATATAAATAATTGCTAGCTAAACATTAAATTTTATTTACCTATGTGACAACTTTCTTAACACAAAAACTGTTACAATCCATTATTATTATTATTATTATTATTATTATTATTACGTTAATCCACCCTATTCCATCAATGATAAAATATTTTCTTGCACTTTTTTTAAGTTAATTAAGACAAAAATTGTTACATTTTATATTAACTGAGTAATAATTATATTTTTTTTATTGTACCATATATAGTTATTATTAAAATTAATAACTGTATTTTACACTAAATGATATATGAAAAATACATAAAGATAAAAAATTATATTGTAAATAATTTTTGTCCAAGTTATTTATTCTAACATTAATATTATATTTTTTATCTGATTAATTGATTAATTTTTAAATATATTAATTTGTTTTAATGTCATAATAAAATTTCTTAAAATCTCATAAGCAATTGATATCATAAAGCTAATTAATTGGTCATGATCTCTCAAAATTAAAAAAAATTATATTATTTATTATATTTTATGCAATCAATATAGTGATTCATAAGCAATTAAATCGTTATGTACTATTTATTTTAACCAATAATAAAATTTTAAAAGATAGTAGCATTATCTAACTTATAATTTTAATATTATATGCATAAATATAACTTTTAATAACATATGTTTAAAATATAATAAAATTATCTAACTTATAATTTTAATAATATATACATACAAATAAATTATAATACTTTATTTACATCCGCGCAAATGCACAGGGTCGACTAGTTTTAACTAATCATCACTTCACATCATTTTTCTTCTAGTTTTACATCAGATCAACTTTAATTATTTTATTTTAAATATTATTTTAATATTAATTAAAATCTCACTAATAACTAATCGTAACACAATTTTCAAAATTAACCATACCAAACCAAAATATCCAAACTAAATAAAAATATTTTATGTCCGTAAGGGATGTGCTTACTCTAGTCTGACAATATATATATATATCCACCCTCTTGTCTTAAGAAAATAGGAGGATCATTGTTGTTGCGCATGTGGCGACATTTTAGATTTTTATTTGATTTTTTGTTACTGTTCAATTAGTCGCGACTCGTGCGATACACGAGATTATATATTTTACTGAAAATTTTTTTAATATTAAATATTAAATTTAATGGACTTGTTATATATGTAACAAACGTAAATGGGTCGAACACAAATAAATTCATAAATTATCGAACATTTCCCTGTACACAACATTTTTTCTTTGATTTGGCGGCCAGTCATCGTCACCACAAACTAATATTTTCAAACTACTTCGGATGGTGACATGGTAGATAGCAACGTATAATTTTCCATGATTGAACACCAATTTCTTAAGAAATAAAACAACATGCGATAACGATTGTCCCTGACTCTTGTTGATGGCGTACGAAACATAATAAGAAATTGTCGCCTCTAGAACTTGAAGGGAGAGTGTTTGTCACAACCATAATAAGAAACTGTCGCCTGGGTGAACCCTAGTGAGTATCTTACACCCGAGAACATGAGTGGATAGTTTTTGTCACAACCAACTGTGTCTCATTACATAAACCCGTAGAATGGTCCATGTTATGCAACAACATGATTGGAGTTTCAATCTTCAAATGCAACTGATGATTTGAAATTCTAGAACATTTGATACTATTTAAGAACTTGAACATGTGCATCTCAGACATAAAATTGTTATTAGAGTTCGACTTGTAAGTACTATCAGAACTTAAGTATGTATGACCATCAGATAAATTCGACGATGTCATATACTCGTTGATAGACTCAACGTCCAGCATTGGTGCTAATATTGCCATGTCCTTTAAAAAACTGAGATCATCGGCTGCCTCTTTTAATTTGTTATTTATCGTTTACTAACAGTTGATCCAGTGCGAGAATCAGAATTCATTGTACCAATATAAGTAAGGTCAAAATAACAATATTGCAAGATTATTTTAATCAATTTAAAAAATTTAAAAAAATTACAAAATCAATATCATCATTAATTAAAAACAACAAACTAAGAACATTTATCACGTATTAATCAAACTAATACTAATTAATAATAGAATATAACATGTATAAAAAGCTGCACATTTTTATTTTATAGTATTAAGCATATAAAATTCATATAATGGACAACATATTATGTAACATATATAAATTATGCAACGCAACCCAAGTAAATTAAATATCGGGCCAATTAAATAAACAAATAATTGTACCAAAAAATCGGCCTAATAAAACACCAGTAAATTGCAGTTTTTTGAAGTATCGGCCTAATAAAACACCAGTACATTGCAGTTTTTTGAAGTATCGGGCCAATTCAATAAATACATAATTGTACCAAAAAATCGGTCTAATAAAACACAAGGCAGCCAAATTCATATTTCAAAAACAGCAATTTCGGCCCATGTACATTTATAAACGGGCCCATTATTTTTTTTACTGAAATTGGTTCGTTAAAATCAAGAGGAATTTACACTCCATACAAAACATTATTCTTTATATTACAGATATATATTCAATCTATATTTATTTACAAACTTACAACATGTACCATAATTATTTGTACATATACCATAGTTTTAATATATGTCAAATTATGGAATATTATAATTAATGATTTTTTCCTTAATCATTCGAACAAACCTCTTGATATTTCACCTTTGGCAACTCGCTCGTCTCCTTCACCTCC